TCTGATGATCGTACTCTCTTTCGAGAATTTGTGGAAACAAAGAGGATTTTCAAATTCCTAATGGGTCTCAATAAATCCCTTGATGAAGTTCGTGGTCGAATTCTCGGAACTAAGCCATTACCTAGTATCCGAGAAGTCTTTTTTGAAGTACGTAGGGAGGAAAGTCGAAAGAAAGTCATGTTGGGATCATCTGAACATCCTCTTACTCAAACTGAATTTGCTCTCATTTCCCAACGAGATCACCCAAATGATCCAATCGCTCTTGCTGCCCGGGGAAACTTCCAATCCTATGGTTACAATCGACAGCACAAAGGGCGACCATGGTGCGATCATTGTCATAAAGTGGGACATGTCAAAGAAACCTGTTGGAAACTACATGGGAAACCARCAAATTGGAAGCCGAACACTACTAGATCGGATCGAGAAACTAAGGGGAATGCTGCTGTATCTGAAACTTCCAATCAACAACCACATGCTAAAGAGTTGTTGAACATGCTGCAACAACTATTACACAAAACAAATCTATCAACAACAGTAGGTGGTTCTGGGAATGTACAGCAAGGTAACAAAAATTCCCTTGCTCTCCATACTCAAACTCTTCCATCTGAATGGATAGTGGACTCTGGAGCATCAGATCATATGACAGGTGATAGATCCTTATTCTCATCCTTTTCACTTTATACGGGAAACCTCTCTGTTCGAATTGCTAACGGTACACCTGCTAAAGTGACCGGTATTGGAAGCATTCAGATATCAAGCTCTCTAATTCTTGAGTCAGTTTTATTTGTGCCAACGTTGGAGTATAATCTGCTATCTGTAAGTAAGTTGAATCGAGACTTGAACTGCGAAACTAAATTCCTTGCAAACTCTTGTATTTTTCAGGACTTGGGATCGGGGAAGATGATTGGCAATGCTGAACTATGTGCTGGATTGTATCTTCTGAGAGCAACTAGTCCTCCACMAACACATGAATGCAATAAACTTGTGGTTCAGTCTAATCGTGAGTCAGCTTATATTTCTGAGTCTTTAAATCATAAAGATAGTCGTATCATGATGTTGCACTATCGTTTTGGTCATCCAAATTTTGCCTATCTCGAGCGTCTGTTTCCTTCTTTATTTATCAATAAAAAGAGTCAATTTTTCAAGTGTGAGATTTGTCAACTCTCCAAACACACACGTGCCCATTATTCACCTAATATTCATTCTCCGTCTCAACCTTTCTCTCCTATCCATGGAGACATTTGTGGACCTTCAAGGGTAAAAAATATCAATGGGGCTCGTTGGTTTCTTCTRTTTGTTGATGATCACACACGTTTGAGTTGGACATTCCTTATGAAAGACAAATCTGAAACTAGCCAATTATTCACAACTTTTCGTAAAATGATCCAAAATTAGTTTCAAGTCAATATCCAAGTACTGAAAACGGACAATGCACGTGACTTTTTCAACTCATCCCTCGGAACATATCTCCAATCTCATGGCATTGTTCACCAACGTTCGTGTGTTGACACACCACAACAAAATGGTGTCGTTGAACGCAAAAATCGTCATCTTCTCGATGTAGCCCGATCCCTAATGCTCACATCACACATTCCAAAATCTTTTTGGGGTGAAGCTGTTCTCACTTCGACCTATCTCATAAACCGATTGCCCTCCCGTATTCTCAAATTCAGCACACCCTTGCAAAGTTTACTTACGACCTATCCTACATCCCATCTGGTCTCCCAACTACCATTAAAAATATTTGGGTGTACTGCATTCGTTCATGTTTATCCTCAGCATCGTAGTAAACTTGATGCGAGATCCATAAAATGTGTCTTCCTTGGATACTCGTCAAATAAAAAAGGATACAAGTGTTATCATCCTCCATCTCAAAAGTTCTTTCATACCATTGATGTCACATTTTTTGAACATCAACCATATTATCCCAATTCTGTAATTCAGAGGGAGCRTTATGATCCTGAATCACAAAATTGGGATTGCACTCCTGATYTTCCTACGGTAACTTTAAATCTATCATCTGAAAGTTCACTTGTACCATCTTCTGAGTCAACTCCCTTATCTACCCCTGAGCCTGAATTGCAAGTCTATTCGCGAAGAGCGAGACAACTTGAGAGGACTGAGATACAACCTACACAAGTTCAGCAAAGCCAAGATCTAAACCAAAATCCTAATGTCCTTGAAATAACACACGACATGTCAGAAGATGATAGACCTATTGCTGTAAGGAAATGTGTTCGCTCATGTACTCAACATCCCATACAATATCACTTATCTTACACTAATTTGTAGCCATGTTTCAAAGCTTTTGTGACTTCACTAGATCAGATACAAATTCCCAACTCAGTTCAAGAAGCTCTACAGAGACCTGAATGGAAAGCTGCCACCCTAGAAGAGCTACAGGCGCTGGAGAAAAATGGGACTTGGATCCTTACGGACTTACCCCCAGGTAAACGCACAGTTGGTTGTAAATGGATTTTTTCAACCAAACACAAACTAGATGGTAGTATAGAGCGGTTCAAAGCTCGTCTTGTGGCAAAAGGATTCACCCAAGCTTATGGGATTGACTATCAGGAAACGTTTGCTCCAGTTGCCAAGCTGAATACTATTCGGGTACTTCTTTCAATTGCGACAAATCTAGATTGGCCCTTGTTTCAACTAAATGTAAAGAATGTATTTCTAAATGGCGATTTAGTAGAGGAAGTGTACATGGACATACCTCATGRATTTGAGAACAGGTATACTAGAGGAAAGGTATGTAAACTCAAGAAGTCTCTTTATGGACTAAATCAGTCACTTCGGGCTTGGTTTGAAAAATTTACAGCTATGTTAAAACAAGATGACTATACTCAGTGTCAATCCGACCATACCCTCTTCATCAAACATTTTTCACCAAGTAAGATCACTGAATAGTATATGTTGATGATATAATTCTCATAGGAAATGTTTCTGAGGAGATGATTCGACTGAAGCAACTTCTCTCAAAGAAATTTGAGATCAAAGACTTGGGACACCTAAGGTATTTTCTAGGAATGGAAGTCGCAAGATCTAGTAAAGGGATTTCTGTTACTCAAAGAAAGCACACGCTAGATCTCCTAAGAGAAACAGGGATGAGTGGCTGCAAACCAACAGATACACCTATRGATGCAAACTCAAAACTTTGAGTTAATCTCGAAGATGAACCAGTTGATCGAGGCAGATATCAACGTTTAGTTTGGAAGCTTATATACTTAACTCATACGCGACCAGACATTAGCTTTRYCGTTAGTGTGGTAAGTCAATTCCTGAACAAACCTTCAAAGAAACATATGGAAGCTGTGTATAGAATATTGAGATATCTGAAGCACGATCCTGGAAAGGGACTCATGTTTAGGAAGATCACAAACCGAGCTCTTGAAGTCTACACTGATSCAGATTGGGCTGGATCTCCAATTGATCGGAAGTAAACATCAGGATCTTGTTCATATGTATGAGAAAATTTAGTAACCTGGCGCAGTAAGAAACAACCGGTTGTAGCCSGAAGCAGTGCTGAAGCTGAGTTTCGATCATTAGCACATGGAATTTGCGAAGGAATTTAGTTAAAACGCCTTCTCACTGAGCTCAAGATCAAGACTGAAGGTACTATAGAGGTACTATGTGACAACCAATCTGCCATAGCCATCGCAAGAAATCCAGTACATCATGATCGTATGAAACATGTTGAAATAGACCGTCACTTCATCAGTGAGAAGATTGAGACGTAGATAATTAACCTAAGATATGTGTCCTCCCAACAACAAGCAGCTGATATATTAACTAAGGCATTGCATCGAACCAGCCTTAGTAGATTGATTTCGAAACTTGGAATGACGAGCATATATCATCCAGCTTGAGGGAGAGTGTAGAAAATCAAGCTGAAATTTARGAGAAATTACTTTAAATTTATTTCCTTGTATACTATGTGATTTAGGTTTTCCTTGTAGATCTAGATTGATACCTAATTTCTAGTTTTTTGATTGAAGGTAAACTTGTATATATTTTTCATTCTATAGTCTTGAGAAAAATAAGAAAAACTTTGTCATAAAGCTTCARGTAGTGTTGGCACAATTTTGCCCTATACGCCTTATGTGTCGTTCTCATCTCATGCTCGATGAATTTCATCAGAACTCGATYTGATTCGCTGAAATCGAAATGAACCTACAACAAAAAACATCAAACATATATTTAAGTGTTATTACTGTTGCATCATAACAAAAGATAAAATATATTAAGTAATTAATCTCAAACCTTGAGCTGAGTTATAATTGCCTTCTTCTGAATTTCTTCGTCCTCATTCCACTTGTTAACCTTTAGGTCCACTKGTTCATGTGTATGTACCCCGATCGCCATAAAGAATGTGGTGGCCATGAGAACATATTGGTYTATTAACTGTGTGGTCACATACGATACGTACCTTTGCGTTCATTCCACGAACTTGATTTTCTAGCTCTATCAATCGAGTATATCCTTGCACGCCTAATCTATCTGTATGTTGCCAAACAATAAACCAATTAGTAAAATCAYATTTATTTATTTTACATATATTTAAATTGACGTACCTGAAGGAAAAGCCGGAACAAGCGGGTYTGCTGGTGGATGCTCAYAACCCTATATGTGTGCCTCTAACTGACCTGSTTGGTCTGGTCTCATTTTTCTGCGAASTTAGGCAACYAACGAAATGTATTATATATTGACAAAACAAATACTCAACATAAATCAATTTGATGCATAATTTATCCAACATATATTTAATTCGACATACTTGGAGGAATACTTATTCGCTATAGTACTTATCATCAATATCATCTATATCATTATCAGTTGATGCGTCTACATCGTCCGATTCGTTATTTATAAAACATCAACTACTATACAAAACATAACTCAAGCATGTGTTCAAAATTACAAAACATCAACTTCACAATTTATACATTAACTCACATAAAACATCACAATTTCTCCATTAACATTTACAATTTCCCAAATAGAATTCACATTTTATTAAATAAAATCCATAGTTTATCAAATAACAAACAAAATAATATACATAAATATAATATTTTAAAATAAAAAGCCTAAATAATTCTAATATTATAAAAAAATAATATAAATAAAGAAAATATTAAAAAAATTACCTTAAGCCCACCGGTTGTTGGGGCGTCGGCGTGGCAGCGGCAGTGGCGGAGGGCGGCAGAGAAAATGGGGTGGGCGACGAAGAAACGGGGGTAGGCGGCGGTGAAATGGGGGTGCGCGGCGCAAAGCGGGTGTGGGCCACTTCGGTAGAAGAAGGGAGGGTGCGAGATCTGGCRGTGGCGGCAGCGGACGRATGGCACAGCTCGAGCGACGACGGCAGAYGGTGGAGGGTTCGATTTCAGCGGTGACGGCGGATGTGGTGGCGGCGAGAGAGATAAGGGGTACGGTGGGGCGCGATAGAGAGATGGGAGGAAGATGAGAAATGGAGAAATGGAAAAATGGAGGTGAAATTGATTTTAGGGCAATCTTTGGCGACGCTGAAGGTTAAAAAACTTGTGTCTAAAAAGTAAATAAAAAAAAGTAAAAATTTGATGTTTGACCCAATCGGCGACGAAAATGTAATTTCGTCGTTGATATGGACCTTCAGCGACTAAAGATAAAATCGTCGCCGAAGGTCAGTGGTGACGAAACGAGAGATTTTGTTGCCGATGTTCATGTTTGGCGAAGACATTACTTTGTCGTCGCCGAAAGCATTTAAAATTGCCGCCCCAGCAATTTCATTTTAGCTTTCGGCAACGAAAGCAAGTTTTGTTGCTGAAGCTTGCTAAGTTTCAGTGACGAAAAACTAATTTCGTCGCTGAAACACATTCTTCGGCGACGATATTCTTTTATYGTCGCCGAAAGGGTCTGAAGGGGCGGCAATTTTACCGCCCCAGCAATTTCATTTGACCTTTCGGTGGCGAAAATTAAGTTCGTCGCCGAAGGAGCACTTTCAACGACGAAGAAAATAATTCGTTGCCGAATATCCCAGGTTTCAGCGACGAAATAAATAGTTCGTCGCCGAAACACCTTATTTGGCGACGAACTTAATTTTCGTCATATGTTTTGTTAGTAAATTTTTTATGCAATCCTATGATAATAATGTTGATTCATCTCGTCAAACCCGTGGACATATGAAATGTTGACATGTCGATAAAAATTTAATATCCTAGACACAATAGTTTATGTAACATTTTTTTTATTTAGTCCTAGCACTCTAAGAACATATGTTTTGGTGTAATTGCACTAAATTCTTAGTTGATTATTGTCGGTTTAAAATGTCAATTTATGGTCACTTTGTTTTATTTATTATCTCATTTTTCTTCTTT